CTGCTGATTCAACACGCTGCATCCTCCCAAATGTCAGCATGGACCAGATGCACCCTGCCTGTGGGATGAATCCAGCCCATGGGCCATAGGTTGCCACCCCTGATCTAGATCAAGGAGATCCATCATCCTTTGTGCTGCTTATACTGGTATAAGGTATGGAAAGCTTTGAGAGCTTGCTTTCAGAAGTGTCCTTCAGATCATTCCCTGTGAATTCTGGGTTTGATCCTCTGCAAAGCAGGCAGCTCACAGGTTTATAGATTGTAAGACTAGAAGGGGCCTCAGAAGATCATCAGATCCAGCCCCCTGGACCAGGCAGGACAGGCAGCTGGGGTCAGGTGACCCCAGCAAGGTGACTGTCCAGTCTCCTCTTGAAGATGTCCAGGGTAGGTGATTGCACCACCTCTGGAGGGAGCTTACTCCACAGTCTGGACACCCTGACTGTGAATAAGTTTTTCCTAATGTTGAGCCTGAAACAGTCTTCCAGGAGCTTGTGGCCATTCCTCCTGGTTTTCCCCAAGGTTGCCCTAGTGAACAGCTGTTCACCGACCCTTGGATGTACTCCCCTGATGTAGCGGTCAGCTGCTACCAGATCCCCTCTCAGCCTTCTCTTCTTCAGGTTGAAGAGTACCAAGTCCCTCAGCCTTTCCTCGTATGGCTTGCCATATAAGTCTCTGATCATACGGGTGGCTCTTCTCTGGACTCTCTCAAGCTTGTCCACGTCCTTGTGAAAGTGCAGTGCCCCGAACAGTCCTCCAGCTGCGGTCTCACCAGCGCTGAGTACAGAGGAAGAATCACCTCCTTGGTTTTGCTGGAGATGCATCAATGGACACGTGCCAGGGTACTGTTGGCTCTAGTGGCTACAGTGTCACACTACCGGCTCATATTCATAGTGGTCTGTTATTACCCCCCAGGTTGTGGTGCTGGTCAGTTTGGCACTGTCAAGGCAGTAGGTGTATAAGGGGATGTTTGTCCCGAGGTGGAGCACTTTACTTTTCTCAAATGTTGAACTTCACCTGGTTCCCATCTCCCCAACTTGCCAGCCTGTCTAGATCCACCTGTATCTGTAGCATACCTTTAAACGTGGCCACACTTCCCTGTAACTTGGTGTTCTGTGATCTTCTATGAGCCGACCTTGACATATCTGTGTAAAAGCGTAGTAGTCGCAGTAGTATTCATAGTAGTAGTACGACATGGGCAGGGTGTCTCCATCAGGGATCCAGGCTCTACGGTATTAGAGTTCTTAATCGAAGTACAAGGTGAGAAACAACGGATGGATGACAGGCAATGAGAGCACAGAGTAGCGATGAGATTATGCTGGTCAGCATGATGCGTAGTGATCACGGCAGACCAGCCACCGCTGAAGTCCTGGATCTTTGCATCCCCAACCTTATCAGTCAGCTCTTACCTTCAAGGAATGCAACATACTCCAAGGAACAGGGCCATACTCCTCTTATACATCTCTCTTCTGTTGCTTCTAGTACCTTCTCGCAAAGGCAGGTTCCAGACTTAAAAGTTGTTTGAGACTTAAGGCTACTAGAAACAATGCCACGGAGAGCTGCCAGCATGATTACTCACTCAAATGCTCTCTGCACTTTGAGAGCTACTCTGAATGGTCTTTGGCAGCAGTCTTTGATCCTAGTCACGGAAACAACTATTCTGAACTTCCAAAAGATCTGTCATCCTCTCACTTTGGCCACACGATATGCAGTCAAGGTGGCTTTTCGCTGTAATCCTGCCAGCATGAACTCCCTTCTTCAGCGCACACACAAGGTGCAGGCCAGATATCTAATGCTCATCATGGCATTACAACAACAGGAGTTCCTACTCATGAGACAGACCGTGTTAGGAGAGTGCAGGTACAAGAACAGGGTGTTTCATCTCCTAAGTCCGATGCTACAAGTGCTCTCTCTTCTGCAAAAAGTCAAGCTGTAGCAGGAATTTCACGTGATCAACACAAGTAAGGTTATGGATAAGCTAATAGCAAAAGTACATTTTTTTCTACTCAGATAAGCATGAAATTCACCTCCATGCACAAGAACAGCAAAAACCCCACACTATTTCAATCATAATGCAAAGCCCCTGAATAGCCTTCAGTTGGATTTTACCTGATTCTTGGGCCATAAGCTACAGGACACCTTTGAGCAGGGGTGAGTCCAGGCCAGTAAATATCTTGCTCTGGGGCAAGCAAAGATTAAGATGGAACAGAGCCTTTGGATAAAAAAGCAAGCATTTTTTTTCTATTCTTTTTCTTCTTTAGATGGATTGAAACGGACAAAAGGAATGGTGCACAATCAAAACATTATTGCACAAAGCAAAAAGCCATTGTTTGTACTTATGGACATTCACATTACAGTCACATTCCAGTGGATAAGTGAAAGAATTGTGGTGCATGGTATTTAAACAGTCCACACCAAACCCAGTCATCTGGTTTTAATTAACACATTTCCCAAACAAGACATGGGTGGTAAAGGAACATTTTTCTCTTAGATATTTTTCTTCTTTTTTGCTGCCTCTTATTTCTAAAGAGGGCACTGAACCGTGTAGGACCTAACAATGGAAGAGAAAAACCAAGAGAAAAATCTAACTATCCCTGACACTATTTGCTTCTCTCATTTTTAATTACAGAAACATATAGGGCTGCAAGAGTATCATGGAATGGAGCAAGCAGAGCAATATTTAGACATAACAAAGCTATAAGTGTTGCACATTTTTTTCAGTGAGCGGCTCCTCTTATAATTATGGCTATGTATCATAACATAAAATGAACACGGTGGTTGTTAGGACCGCCAAACACGTTGTGCAGACCATCTGAAGATTGCACAGCTACATTAACCACATTTTGAAAGGTCAATGTTAAGTTAATTTGTCCAAAACATTTAATAAAAAAATCACTTCTTGTTGAAAGCTACTGAGAGAAGCCTTCTGCCTTGAACTGGTCTTTGCAATGGCAGGGTATCAGGAAAAAAGTCAAGTATGTTCAGAGGTGAAGCTGTATGCATGCTTGCTACCTTTGACTATCAGGTACCCATACAAGTCCAGTTACTGGCCCAGTTCTGTTCCCACTGAAGACTACAGCAAAACTCCCATGGGTGCCATATCAGACTCTTAGGACACAGAGCAAGGATTTAGTGATAAGAGGTGGGTGTACACTGGACTGGAAACCAAGTGAATTCTGGAATATCTGGATTCAGAGTTTGTCTGGATGGTGGAACAAAGCCCAAATCCTGGATCAAACCACCCTTGGCATCTGGTCAAAGCTAACTCAGATCTTGGCTCAGAGCCATCGGTATGTATTGCAGTATTCCTCTCTACAAGAAGGAAAAGGGAGTGAGAGATGGTGAGATGGATATTTCTAATACGTGGTGGTCACCCTTTGGGCTGAGTTAATATGACAGTGTCCTGCTAGTCTTTACCAAGGTGATCATTTAAGGAAAGCTGCCTAGTGATCAAAGCAGAAAAATCGAACCCTGGCAGGAAGAGCAAGCTTTCTGGACAATCTTCTTGATTTCATTGATGATGCAGGTGTCCTTCAATCTCCAGAACAATACCGCAGTGCCCAACCCGGCCAGTCCTGGGATCAACCACTGAGAACTCGCATCTCCTACCAAGTCCAATGGAGCTAAGGATAGTCAACACCTTGTAACAGCACTGACTTTGCAGCCA